ACACTTGAAAGTAAGCTGAGTGATATCAGATGCTAACAGCAACCGATGAATAACAGAGCTTTTGGTGATTCCCACTTTCAAAAGGTGCTTATAAGCAGGTTGATGGATTTTTTTTAACTCCCTTCCATGCGCCATTATCAGTTTACCTCGAGGCGGATGGATTTACTGCACAGGAATTTCTTTGTTTCATCTATCTCCAGTATGACAGCAGCTCTGTCTACCAAATGAGCGTAATTTTTCTTATGCAAAAAATAGAAGGAAATGTTATGTTCTTCCAGGGAGATGTGAAGCAGACATATTCAGGGCCAGAGATTGTTCAGCAAAATTACGCGGATCAGATGGAGCTAGCATATGATCCTGTCTTCAGTTGGTTAAGTGCAAAGGATTTGAAGGTAATGATTACTCTATCTGAGTGGGGAGGTTTTCTGTACAAATTTTAGATAAAACAGTTTTTCTCTGTCTTAGATTCTTTTCCGAAAAATAAATCAAAGAAGTTTAGGTTCGTGCAGAAGCAGCTAACTGCATTGGAGAACTGTGCTTGATGATTCCGCCAAAACGAGTAGTGGATGAACTCAGGAGGCTAGTGCCAGCACTGCTTGGTTTACATCGTAAAATTATCAGTGATCAGCACCTCGTTACACAGGTAATTCTTTTTATCAAGAAAAAAAAATCCATTTCTGCCTTTTCCTTAACTAATTTACACGTAATTTATTTGCTCATCAACCTGGCACTGTAAGTTCATGGTTTGCAATGTCAGAAGCGATTATTTACTAATGTTACTAGGTCGAGTCGACATGCCGAAGGCAGCTTGTGATGTCGTCAGTGTACACATATCTCTCGCAGTCAAACTTTTTTGCCTAAATTGTACTGTTTCAGTCCGTTCTCATCACCTACCTATTCCCGTCTCCTCGGAAATCCTCTAGGTGGCCGTATTACTTATAAATAACGCATAAGTTGATTAATACATATGGCATATTTGATATTATGCTTTGACTGCTCGCGTATTAGTGTCCGTCAGGGGATGAGTTCAGCGATCCCCTCGAGTGACCTCCAAAGAGCTGGTGTGCATTTACTAAAAAGGCGCTAGGTATTAAAATGTGCAGTTAGGGGTCGAAATGCTTGGCGTGGCTATACTCTGCATATGAAAATATCCAAGCAATATCGTTAAAATAAAATTCTCAAACGGGTTATTCGGTTTCTATTGTTTTCTTGTTAAGTGTGTTATAAATGTTCGTTAGTTTTATATAAATTTTTAATTACCACATTGGATCTAAAAGCGAGCATTAACTTTAGATGATTTTCGACTCAAAAAAAAA